CAGCAGTCAACTCGTAGATTTTCATATGGAAATTCAAAGAAGATAATGTAATCACAACTTCAATCCTTGCACTTCATTACTGAACCTAAGTAAGTGACTTTTTGGTTTTAGGTCACAAATCATTTAAAACAATTGCTGAAAAAGCTTCGCCCTCCACTATTATATTTTTCGGGTTTTCTAAATGAATACATTTTCGATGAACTGCTCTAAAGCACCATATTCATCACTAGTTTTGATACTCTATGCAATAATGATAAAGGTCCTCTCAGTCCTAATTAGGAATATTAAAGCTTCGGGTTCAACCTTCATTCCATTAACGGCGATTCAAGTAAAAGCGACTTACTATAGTGCAATTTCACAATTTGACTTCGGGAAATCTGACCCTTTTTCTCATTTTTTGCTCTCGAAAAATCAATTATACGAAAAGTCCAAAATGTCGTCAACTAGTCCTCTTTTGACTAGTCGCACATATATTAGTTCGCTTCATCCGGACCTCACAGAAGAATATAAATCTGTAAGAAACTAAAGCCAAAATTCAGTTTCAGGTTTCGTATATCATGAAATGTTACAACGTATTCCTTATAGTTTTTCATTTAAGCATAACTGTTCAGGTTTAGTGATGGCGGCGGTAATACTCAGCCGCATTAGGTTTTTCTTTGTGTCTGATTGAAGTATACTTTTAGAAAAACTTTCATAAGTAAAAAAGAATAAGTGGATCATTCACAGGAAACATATAGTAACTTTCTGAATTTTTTCACAGTAACACTAACCAAGCACTTGATTTTTCAAAACTCCTTAAAAATAAAAAGCAAAAGTTAAAACTGATGATATATGAAGCCAACAACAAGGAAGTAACGAGAATAGGCAAATTCCTTAGATCAGTTACCGAATGAAATTAATCTTCACACAGGGTCACTTCGGTCTCTTCGGGCACTTCGGTCTCTTCGGGCACTTCAGTCTCCTCGGGCACTTCGGTCTCCTCAGAGACTTCAGTCTCCTCGGACACTTCGGGTTCATAACATCGTTCGTATAAGTAGACATAACCCAATAATTTTGGTGGATTCTGAGATATAGCCACCTTTTCATCATTGAAGAGATACCAGTTTGAATCCTAAAGTTAAACCATTTTTATCGTTTTTCAGGATATTCATATATATATATATATATATATATATATATATATA